GCTAGCCGTATTTATTGCTTAAGCTAATAGAATCTTTTCTTTTAAATCGTAAAGTTAAAGTCCGATTAAAAAAAGAAATCACGGACACTTACGACGTAAAGTGCGGCACTCCGTAAAGATCTTTATTATCACTAGTGCTTTATATGCTTTACTTAACTAAGCTACTTAATTAAGATCGGATATTGCGCTTCGAGTACGCTAACGATATTTACTTGTATCGCGTTAATCGCACTTTCGACCGGAATATCGTTATGCTTCGAAACGATATCAATTTTATTATTAAGTAGAATAATACTTATAAGATCGCTTTCGCTTTAAAAAAGATCGAGATAATGCATTTCTTTCGCAAGAAAAGTACGTATGCCTTTTTCTTCGTAATCGATATTATAACTATTCTGTATATTACTACGAGTCCGAAAGACGAAGACATACTTGCGATACGATAGCTTAAAATTTAATTTAATCGCAAGCTAAAGTTCCGCCGATACGTTCGAAAACGAGCGATTAAAGTTAAAAAAGTCGCTTAGCATATCCGTAGTCTTGTTAAAATAATCTACGGTCTTTTTGCGGCTTTATTACGCAAAGCAATTACTACTTGCGTGCTGCTCTTAATGTTTTATAATACGGAAGCGTAATACGTAAAGCGCTATCGCTTAATTTATAAGTCCGGAAAACTAAAAGTTGTTAATGTTGGATTGCTTCCAAGCGATTGGGAATATATATTCGTAAGGTCGTAACGGTCGTCAAAGTACTTGCAATTGCAAAACACTCGGTTGATAAAGTATCTGAATTCTGTCTGCTCCCCAAGGCTCAAGGGAGCTGATTCCTTCTATACGATTAAAAGGAATCACGTGCACTAGCTAGCTAATAGATTTACTTGTCAAGTTGGGGGTCCCTTGACTGCTGACATGCTAAGCGAGGCATGCTAAATGGCCCGTGAACCATGGTTCACGGGTGAGCTTCCCCAACTACTACTACTACTACTACTACTACTAGCTAAGGTCGATATAGATATACCGACACCGGCAACTCTCTCTTTAGCAAATAGTGCTTTGCTAACTACCATATCGACCGAAAAAAAAAAAAAAAGGTAATTAAACAAAAGAAAAACAATCTCCTTCTTCCTTTTACAACGGCCTTTCTACCCATCCATCGACTTGCACCTTCAAGGTATTAGTCAAAACTAGCTCTTGCAAAGAGATATTGGCCTCGATTTTGGTCATGGCGTCAGCAAGGTTAGATTTGCCTCCGATCTAGCGTACCTCAAAGAGCTCTCGCTTTTCGTATGACTCCCGAATAGCTATAATATCGATTATTAGACGCTTCTCTTTAATAGTCCTTAGTTTTACTATGCATTCGTAAAGCGAGTAAGAGTCAGTGCACACGACTACGAGGAAGTTAAGGATTCTTAGTTGAGCCGTGATTTAAGCAAAGGTAGTCGACATAGCAATAGCTATATCGATACTTAAAGACATCGCGTATAGCTCAGAGGCTAATACTGCTCTTGTCACCCTCTTACACTTTTGTAACACTTAATGTAAGATGTTACCCGTCAGAGTGAACTCGTTTTCACTTACGTAAGCCTTATTGCTAAGGATAGCTACGAAACCGATCTAAGAGCTGAGGTTAGCGTTGTTAGCAAACGCTTCGTCCACGAACACAAAAAGCTTCGCAGTCTTCAGGTCTAAGGGCACGTAATGGATCCTTCGAATTAAGTGATCGATCAGCTACTAGATCACTTTATTAAAGGCTTTGTAGTCCTCGTCTTTCGATTCTTAGTGCTAGGCGGCCATCGATAGAGCGCAAGATGCCTCTAGGTAGCAAATAGTAGCCAAATACGCCCCTCGGGCACGTTGCTCCAAGTACTCTTTAGCCCGTATAACTGAATCGAGCTTGATCATTGCAAGCCTTTTACCTTGCCCTTTTTGCCCAACTGACAGTCCGAACCCTTCCTTATCTAAGGATAGCTTGCATCTATTGAAAATCATTGGTTCGGCGTGTATAAGAGTCTCCATTTCCTTGCTCTTTAGCTTAAATTTGACTAGCTCCCTCTCTTCTTTTGCCTTTATAGCTAGATTGATAACCATGAGAACATCATCCGTTTATAAAGCAGCTATTCTTAGCTGATCCTTATTAGTTAACATAAAGAAGCAAGAATCAAAGCTCGATTGCCTTATCTCGAAGTTGTCCGTAAAATGCTTTGAAAAACGCTTATATTAATGCGTTCTTGCCTTAAGGATCCTATATAAAAGGCCAGTCATAAAGAACAAAGTGCCGGAAAGGAATCGATAAGTGATCTCTTTAAGTAGTCGCACGACGATTATTCGGATGAGCTTCGTGCTTGACTGAGTGTAAGCTTAAATGATATCTTTGCTACAAACCTAACACTCGTAGTCCTTTATCAAAAAGAGAGCTAAAGCACAACAGAGTCTTTGGCCCGCTCGCTGCACCGTAAGTGACTCGGTGAGTACTCTCGTTTTGCTTTTATCTTAAAAGGCTTAGACCATTATACGAGACTTCTCGTATAGCGTAGGTGTTCCTTTGCTCTTGATCTTATCAACAAACCTAGATCCGAAGATCCTGGCGCCTTTAGCGCGTAGGTCGGTGCTCGAGATCACTTAAAAGATGCTTTAAGCTATCAATCCAGCCAATTCCTTTGCTCTAGACTCTTGAAATAGTGCCCCGAGGCTCTTGATGATTCCTTCGGCTCGTAGCTTAGCTAAGAGCTTATGGTCCCGGCGTTCCTTATCGGTAATCAACACCTCGGAGTCCTTGGTGAATAAAACGTAAGAATCGCCCTTTTCTTCGTCGAGCACGGTCGAGATACTAAGATCGTACTTTTAGTAAGGTATCTAGACTATTAGTATTATTGACTTTTGAGGATTAGCAAGTTAAGAGTTAAAAGGGCTGTTTGTTAGTCTTGGCGAGCTTCTTAGATTAAGCGACCTCGGTAGATTAAGCGAATGTTAAGGTTTAAGCGAATTTCGTATTTCTAGCTCTTTTTCGCCTTCGCTCTAATCATCTTCCACCTCTTCTTCTACTTCTTCTTCCACTTTTACCTCAAGTACTTGCAACTCTTTTAGCAGCTTTTCAACTTCAAAGTAGTAAGGTTTTACTAAGGTTGACTTGAATTCCGTAAGCCTCGGACAAGCTATTATGCACGTATGCCTTTGCCTGCTAAGCAGCTGAAAGGGGCCTTTCTACTCTTGGTTTTCCCGCCACACTAGCACTCGTGAGCTAATAAGGAAGTCTAAGGTATGCTCCGTAATTAGGCCATTCCTCCTCTTAAGCGCGTCTTTAACCTGCTTCGCAGCGTGGCATTTTCGTACTTCCTTTATAGCTTTGTTAATAGCAGCAGCACGCTCTTAAATAAACGCGGCAAGTCGATCTTGCTCCGTCAGCTTCGATAAAGTCCTAAAAACGAAGAGTGTAAGAACCAAGCTATTAAGTCCAGCTATGTCGTTGATAGCTTTAATAGCTATTTGAAGCCGGTCTTCCTTTAAGGCTTTTAGAAGCTTTTTTATAACGATCTTAAAAGCGCGTCGCACAAGAACGTAGTAGCGTTCTACTAGCCCGACGCTGTGATAAGCTTCTACAAGTATTTGCCTTAAGGTGCTGCTAATACCTTTAAAGTAGCTTCGGAACGTTATCGAATTGAAGTTGGTTCCGAGATCGTGCACTACGTTTATAAAAGGTCCGACGTAAGTATTAACCCAACATCAATTGAATCCCTTAAGTAAGTGCTATGCGGATATGCTTTTAAAAAAGGTAGCGGCTTAAAAATTGATAAAATCGCAAACGACGTATAATACGTTCTTGCTATCAAAGTGCATTACGTCTACGTATACCGTATCATTAAAGTCAGTATCGTCTTTAAGTTTAATACTAAACCTCTTCAAAGAGCGTCCGAATACTTAGCAATAGTAGCAAAACTTTTGAATGTTATAAAGCAAATCTCGCTTAAATTCGTGCTCGGCCTTTTTAAAAACAGCAGCAAATCGACTTGCTAAAAGGTGGCCAAAACGCTTATAAATAATCCTCAATTGTTTTTCCGTAAAGTGGTAATAAACGGTCTCGCCCTCGGTACTATAATAAGTAGCAACGTGCTCTTTACTTAATAGCATCTATACGTGCTCAAACATCTTTACTACTAGTATTTCCTTCTTCCTTTAGACTAGCACGTTCCGCAAGTTATCTAAGATCACTTTATGCTTGTTTATATCAGCTAATGAGAGTAAGAAAGGTACGTCGCTTTCTATAACGTAAAACTCCACTTGACTTAAAGGGGTATCTAAGGTAATTGCTTTAATAAAAGTGGCAGAGCCGATGCCGTATTTAACGGACTTCTCTTTTGCCCGAGATGTATCCAATTAAACCTCGAAGTACTTCTTTTAAAGTGCTCGTAGCTAAGGCAAGCTAGCGGTAGAGAAATTAGCTGCTCCGCTATTAATCATAAGGCTCATGAACACGTTTTCAAAGTACTTAAAAGCTATATAAGTCTCTGCCTTACCCGCGGGCACACGCGGATCTTACTCGAGCATCTTTTAAGTCTTTACTTAGCTAGTAAAAGCGTAGAATGCCGTCTGAATCTTTAGCTGTTTATATACCTCGTTAACGTTAAAAGTGCCGTAAGTAATTATAAAACCTTCCGACATGTTAGCGTAGCTGCTCGATTCGAGTGGTTCGTCTAATAAGCTTGCGATGAACTAATCGAATTCTTCCGTAGATATAAATAGCTAGCTTTCGATCGACGCCACGTATTAAGAAAATTTGTTTCTCGTCACCTTTTTTACGTCTTTAAAAGCTTGGAACTTAGCGACGGATGCCTTCCTTTCGTCGGAGGTGTGATTAGTGCTCTAGCAACTTAGCTTTTTGCAAACAAAACACCTTTTCTTACTCTTAATAGCCTTAGCAGCTTTCTTACTTTCGAAGTATTAGCGGTCTTAAATAAAGCATTCGTATTCTTCGTCCAAATCGAAGTTAGCCTTTAAAGTGTTATGCTAAGAGCAAGTGTGATCGTGTGGCTCGTTAAAGCTCGCGTAAGCTTTACTCGCCTTGGCAAGAGGTCGAGAGGTCTCAGTTGCAAACGCAATAGCCTTGCGAATGTCGGCAACTGCGGCGGTAAAGGTAAAGGCAAAGTTCATTCGTGCAATCGTAGTCTTTAGCACGTTTTTATAAGTTAAATACAACTTGTTAGCAAGACTTCGATCATCTCTTAAACTTAGTCGTAAAAAGCCTTGAATCCTTTTAAGCTCTTTAGCGAGCTTCTTAAAGCACTCGCTAAGCGAGGTCTTTGGATTCTCTTTCTTAATCAAATCTAGCGAAATTTCCTTTTAACGGTCGTATTTTGCTTGCCGCCGGTAATCAGTTTCGAAGTAGTCCTTTACTGCAATAGCGTTTGCCTTGAAAGTCGGAAGTCTAGCTTTAATAACGTGATTATAATAAAAGGTTATAGCCTCCCTTATAAGCATAATCGAAAACGCCGTTAAGTAATCCTCGAAAGTTAAATCGTATCGACTTGCTTAGTTAGCAAAAATTCTTAATTAAGTCTTAAAGTCATCGTCGGATCTTGAATACTTTAGCTCCTTAGGAAAGCTTCGCGCGAACAAAGCCAATTCCTTCGCTTTTAAATAAAGGTCTGCTGCTCTTAACTCAAGGAAATCGTCTCTATCATCGTTAAGAGCGCTTGGAATGCCGTACGCAAGCGTGCTTTGCTTAGCTAATAGTCTGATCGGTAAAAGGTTACCGATATAGTTGCCGGTGGTCCGTCTTCTTCTAAGGTCTTTAAAAGGCTCATTTCCGAATCCGGGGTCCTTTAAAGGTCCGTTTCCGAATCCCTTTGATAGTCCAAAAGGGCCGTTCTTACCTCTTCCGTGCCCGTAGCTTCGATCTCCTTGCTAATCTCCTCCGTTTCTTCTTCGTCGGTCATCGTCAAGATCGCTAAAGCTATTCGAGTTACCGGCTAAAGCTCTAGCTTAGTGATATCCGTACCCTTAAGCGCGCTCTTAGCGATCTTTATACCTTTAGTATCCTTCTTATCGATACGTGGCTTATTGAAGGATCTAAAGAGCTTGTCGGTACGTCCGAAGGTGCTAGATCCCTTTTTCGGGTTGCTAAAGTTAAGCACGGAAATCTGCACGCTATCCTTGGTAAAAGCTGATTTTATCCGAAATGCTCTTAGGTTTTAGCGGGTCCTCTTTTAGCGTATAGCTGCTATTGCTTTGCGTATTATCAGGCCCGATTATATTTTCGAAGCCGTTATTATTGCTACTCGGCTTTAGATTTTAAGAAACCCGGTTATAGCTCTTAAGAAAAGGGTTTAAAGGCCGCTAAAGTGATTTTAGCTCTTATATGATTAGCGTATTGCGTAACGGTTGCTGAATTAAAAGCGTCGAGTACGCTAAAGTGCTTCGTCGTAGCCCTTCGTTAGATTGTATAGCGTAAGTCCGTAACTCCGCTATTTGCTTTGCTATCACCTTTATATTTTGCTTTATATTCCTTTTCTCCTTCGCAAATTCTTCGCGAAACTTCCGAATCTCTTCCCCTTCTCTCTTTAATACCTCTTTTTCTTTCCCTTTTGGACTTCGTAAAAATAATAGAAGTGGTTGAGGCGTATTATCTTCGTCGTCCGTAAGGTTTTCGGCGGTCCACTTTAAATCGAAGCTTAAAGGTGCTGCTTGCTGCTCCTTTATTTCTTAGAAGGTCTATTAGTGTTGCTGCTCGTCGTTCAAGAGCTTAACTATCTTATTAGCGTAGCCCCTTTGCTTTAGGGGGCATTACACGCCTTTAAATAGCAAGTATTCCTTGAGGTTAATAAAAGTAGCAAACTTAAAACCTCGTCCCGTATTGTCCTTCGTCATTGTAAAACTAGTCCAATCCTAGCGTAAGAAAGCGTGCCGGAATAAGCTCTACAAATCGTAATCTCTTAGCCTTTTATACTTCGCATCTAAGAAGTCGTTCACTATCGCTCGGGCCGTGATCTTACTGTCTAGCCTTGCGTATGATAACTCGTTTAAGTCAAATAAGATGCTCGACATCTCGTCGTCTGGTCCTTCCGAGAGGCTTAAGAGTCCTGGGTATAATGGTCCTTTTAGCTGAATAGCTAAGGGTTCCGTAAGTAGTGATAAGACTCGAAGGGTATAATACCCTATTGCTCTTTATCGGCTAGACTCCTCACTTAAAGGTCTAGTTGCTCGATCGGCCATAGTTGTTATCTGCTCGTACGTAGATCGATCGTATTGATTAGGTTTGCTATATGTAGCAAGCGCGGCTCTACAGCTTTAAAAGTTGTATAAAAGTGACTTGATTCGGAATCACTCTTCCGTAAGAATAAAGGAAAATCGGTAGTATAAGAAGCGACTTAATACGGAATCGCTTTTCCGTTATAGAAAAAGAGAAGTATCGTAGTGAAAGGTATCCTCGCTATAAAGTATTCCTAGCTTCTCTATGATTGATCACTTAGTAGTAAATCAACCACTAATCAGTGTTGGATTGCTTCCAAGCGATTAGAAATATATATTCGTAAGGTCGTAACGGTCGTCAAAGTACTTGCAATTGCAAAACACTCGGTTGATAAAGTATCTAAATTCTGTCTGCTCCCCAAGGCTCAAAGGAGCTGATTCCTTCTATACGATTAAAAGGAATCACGTGCATTAGCTAGCTAATAGATTTACTTGTCAAGTTGGGGGTCCCCTGACTGCTGACATGCTAAGCGAGGCATGCCAAGTGGCCCGTGAACCATAGTTCACGGGTGAGCTTCCCCAACTACTACTACTACTACTACTACTACTAGCTAAGGTCGATATGGATATACCGACAGTTAACGCTCGAGTCGAAAAGATAATTGACCTTATTAATAAGACGATAACTCTCGCGGCGCGCGGAGTATTCTCGGTTTAAAGAACGATATTAACGGCAACGCTTTTTCGAGATGCCGAGCTTCTTTTCGACGTTGCGGCTTTGAAAAAAGCTAAAGCTAAGTTTGCAATAAGATTAAAGACGATAGACGACAAGCACTTATTAATCAGCCGAATACTTTTGCGGATCTGATAACGCGGTCGCGGCGCGGAGATTATTAAGATCTTTAAGATTAAGATTTAAAAACTAAGAATTCTTTTTTTAAACGTTCTTCGCTTTCGCTTCGTTTTTCCGCACTTCACATCGAAGAACAAACGAGACTCGGCGGACGGCAAAACGAAGAAAGAAGCTGCTGTTTTATTCGAAGCATAATAGCAATAGCTTTCGTTAAAAGACATTACGATCTTTTCGAACGGGTTAAAATAATACGATTAAAGTAACCGACTAATAAGCTACGAGTACGTAGTCTATCGAAGATGATAAAAGATAAGCTACGAATACGGCTTTATTAACGATTGCTTTTACGTTTTTAACGCGAAAGCGATAAAAGTATAAAAAGGCTTCGAACGAATAATGCACGCTTATCCGATAGCGAGACGGATCTAGCTTTGTATCGATAGCACATCAGTTATTTAATATCTTCGCGGAAATGCTTTTTTATTATCGCAATAAGCGTTCTTAAACGTTTAAAAAGTAATAAAGACTTAAAACGTACGAATACGATAGTCTTTAAAGCATATAAGCATTAAAAAGAACGAATAAGCGGATAAGCTTGCAGACTTAAAAGCAAAGAAACCGAATTAAGATATTAGTTTAGCATCGCAACTTACGATTAGCGGCATCCGCACGCTCTTTTGCGATATACGAGATAAAGCACGAAAAGCTTAATAAAGCGCAAGCTTTTTTAAGCTTTTACGCTCGTATCGGAAATAAAGCTTTTTATATTTAATTAAGCTCTTTTCGGAGCTAAAACTTTTACGATATATTTTATATAAACTACTTGCGATTCGAATTACGCACGAAGACTTTACTTAATATTATATTAAGTTTTAATATTACGACGCTAACTTAAAGTATGCTTGCGGCAAACGCAAGTCCTTTTTGCATATAGCTTTTTGCCGATTTACGTAACGACGCTTCTTTTCTTAGCTTTATAAAACCCGATCGCGGACCTTTTCGAGCACGATCTCGAAAGCTTACGACTTCTTTAAAAGTCTCTTTAATAATCCGGCCGATTTTTAAGCCTTCTTAACTATTACGGAGTTCTACTTTAAGCATTGCACTTAATAAAAATGCTACTTTAGCTAATTGATATTGCTTTAATAAAAAAAACGAAGTACGCTCCGCTTTATTTAAGCTATAAAAGCTCGTTAGATTAATCGCGTCACGAGATTAAGACTTTAAGATAGCGTAGTGCGCTTTCGAAAGAATTCTCTTTAGCACTAATGTATTATATTAAGTTTTCTTTTAAAGTTTAGTCTTTCGTATTCACTTTTTCTTTTATACTCGGCTAACTTCGGTCCGGCCTTGATTTTTATCGCTACGCGACGTAAACAGCTCGCTTTTAACTAGCTATAGCAGTTTGTACATGCTCGACTTTCTTTTTTGTAGTTTTTCTTTTAATAAAAGGTTTCTTTTTATGTGATCTATCTTATCTATAAAGAAAAGGCGCACGCGATAATAGCTTTCGCTATAATATATTGAATTGCTTTTTAAGGCCTTCTTATATGTAACTCTTTAGCTTAGCACGTCGCCGTACTTTATAAGAAGTCCCAGGGCGGCAGGCTTCGCCTGCTACCCGCCCGACGTAAATAAATATAACAACAACAACAACAACAATTTAGCTCGCGCTTTAAAGGTATTTAATATAGCTAGTTTAGCAAGTCGGAGCTAATAATAGCTTTTAACGCTTTTTACGCCGATGACGAAGAGACAAAGCGATTTTCTTAAAAGTATATTATGTTTTTGTTCGAAGGTACGATCTTTTAAAAAGCTTTAAGGCAAGATACAATTATTATATCATCTATTGAAGCGGAGCTTCTTAGTATAGCCTTTATAATAAAAGAGATTATAGCGCTTTAACGATTTTTTAAAGAGCTGCACCTTCGATTTGCGGCGCCTTGGGTAATCTATTATAATAATCAATAAACAATCAAGCTTATAGCTAAGAAGAAAGAGCGTATCTTTACTAAGCTTCGCCACGTCGATATTTATAATATATAGCTGCGCTAAGAGCACTTTAAAAAGAGCTTTCAAGTTTAATATCTTTTTATTAAAGAGATGTACGCTAATAGTCTTATTAAGAACTTGACTCGATAGAAGTTTAAGAGCTTTATTAAGCTTTTAAATTTATAAGACGTTCGCGCGTTCGTCGAAAAGCTTTAATAGTACGCATATGCTATTCATTTATTATATTTTCATTTTTTTTTCTTTTGCACGTGATTCAAAAGAAAACATTTATTTAATAATCTTAATCGTTATTTTATTTTATCTTATACGCTTCTACTTTTCGCTTCTTATAACAAAAGATCGATTAAAGCTTTTAGTAATCTTTTTACTTTAGCTCGGCGCTTCGCAAGAGTCATAGCAACGGCGGGCGCCGCCGCGAAAGCGGCAAGCGCAACAACTAGCGCAAAAAGGGCGACGATAATAAGTGCGACGAGAGCTGCGAAGGCGACGGGAGCAATAAAAGCGGCTAACGCAAGCGCAAGGGCTGCTATAGCAGTAGATTAAAGCCTTTGCATAAAGTCCGAAAAGAAGTTCTGATTAAAAGAAGCTGCTTAGATTAGATTATTTCGAAAGTCAAAAAGCTTGACTTACGAAAAAGTGATATACTCGAAGCGCTCCGAGTCATCGGACTACGGTTCGCTGCTATAAGACTATTCAATTTAACAAGAGCTATATTTAAATTAAAGGTTTTAAAAGTAAGAGCAAAACTTATAAGGCTATCGAGACTACTTTTAAAACCTTTACTTTTATTCGCTAGACCGCCCGCATTACTAGCAGCACTTTTTAAAAAAGCAGTATTTAAAGCGAGCTGTTGTCGTATAGCATCTCGGAGACTTTGGCGAACTTTTTATATAGCACTATTGTCTTTAGCGCTTACGAAGTTATCGAAAGCGGTGTTAGCAGCGGCAAAAGCAACGGTGTAATTGCTATAGCTACTTTTAGCATACCGAAGATAGCGTATAACGCTCGTATCGCAATTATAACAGTCTTTATTAGACCTCGATATAATCTTACTATTAATGCACTTGATGCACTTTAAAGCTTTGACGGTCGTTAATATAAGCAAACGCTTAATAAAAGGGTCTAAGAGAAAGGGCGAAGCTTCGAAGGTAAGAGTGCGTAGTATAGCTGCCGCAGCCGCCGCAGCTGTAATAGCAGCAATAGCTAAAGCAGAAAAGAGATTCTTTTAATAATCAGCATAGATATATTAATCTGTTAAGAGCACTTACTTTTAAACGGCTTCGGCCGCGCTTAACGATTCTATTAAATTAAGTTACTTGCTTAAAAAGCATTGTGTAGATAGATAAAAATTGAGTTTGTTATAATAAAAACGGACGCGCTTTTACTTATATAGCAACGCGATAAAGACGGCGCTAAAGACCTTTGCTACGTAATAACATCGACTTAAGAAGGAATTGCATTCTTAACTGACACTCAATCAATAATGACAACCGTTATTTGTTTGTTTTAAATTGCGATAATAATCTTTTTTGTTTATATCGAGTTTAAAAAGCTTAATTACTTATTTTTTTTCTTTTTTGTTTGCTTGCAGCTTAATAGCTGTTCTGCTGACTTAAAAGGTATTTTGTACGGAATAAGCATGCTTTACTTAAGCTACATATGACATGTTATGTGACCTCGCTTAATAGCGCTCTTAGCATACTAGAGCTCTTAAGTACATGTATATAAATCTTGACGAGCTTCTTAAATAGAATATATTAAGCTTCATTTAATCTACAAAATCTCTTCTTAATCTTAGTGCTGGTAAGCACTACAATTAGTAAATATAATTAATAAATCGATTAATAAATATGATTAGTAAATGTGATCAGTAAATCGATTAGTAAATTGATTAGTGAATATAATTAGTAAATGTGATTAGTAAATATGATTAGTAAATCGATTAATAAATATAATTAGTAAATATAATTAATAAATATGATTAATAAATATGATTAATAAATATGATTAATAAATCGATTAGTAAATATAATTAGTAAATGTGATTAATAAATCGATTAGTAAATTGATTAGTAAATATGATTAGTAAATATGATTAGTAAATGTGATTAGTAAATATGATTAGTAAATCGGTTAGTAAATCTATTATGCAGTTTAGCCTTGCACGTGCTTCTTTGTACGTGTCTAGTAATCTTCTTAACGCTTAAGCTATTAAGCGAGGCCACGTGATATGAATATATATATATATATATAGAAAAACCCTATGGGGAAACCCCACCCCTTATGGGGAAACCCTATGGGGAGGGCCGATTTTTGTACTTCCCGTGGGTTTCCCCGTGGGGAGGACTCGAATTTCCATGGGGCCCCATGGGGCCCTATGGAGCAGCCTAGTACTTGTCAACTCTTTTACTTGCTAGTTCTTTTTTTAAAATATTATATATTCTTCGAAGAAAGCTATAATAACGCTTTACTTTTCCGACGCTATTATAAGCTTTTATTAAGATCACTTTAATCTTAGTATTTATCGATTTTGCTTGTTGTTTGAACTCTTAAGATCTTAAGTTAGTTTTAGCGTTTATTACGATTATATCTAAAAGGCTTAAGTATGTATCGATCTAATAATAACGTATTGTATTTTATACGTGTTTTGCAATCATATTCTTAAGAAATCTTTTAAAACCGTAGCTTGTAGCTGAATCTACGATATGTAATACAAAGTCTTTATTAATATATATAATATTAATAATAATCGAATAATTAAATTCGTACTCATTTTTTAAAAAGATTTTGAATTTGCGAAAGGCTTCCTTATATAGTTGACATTGCGCATAATACTTAATAATCTTCTCGAAGATGTAGGTTTTAAACTCTTCACTTGCAGCTTTAAAAGTAATAGCAAAACGCTATATTAAAAAGTGTCTTTAACGGCGATGAATTTAACGCAATTCGCTTTCGGTAAGGTTACTAAGGTAGTATGTAATAATTTCTTGCTGATTAAGCAATAAAAATAAATAGCTTTATTTTTTGATAACTAGCACGCTATTATAGCTTTGTATAATCAGGTTTCTTAAATTATTAAAATACACATTAAAAGAATCTATGTCTTTTAAACAGATTAAAAAGAAAGTATTAATATTGATTATATTAAAAACAATCTTGCTAATTAGTATTTATACTTTTACGATTCTTTTGATAGTAGCCGAGGTTTCGCCGAAGCTGATAATACCTTTGTAAGTAATAATCACTTATAATTTAAGTAAGTAGTGCTAAAGAGCTCTTACATATGCTTCTTTTGCAAAAAACTTACTTGCAGCTTTCGAATCGAAAAAGAACTTTTAAAATCGGTAAGCTGAATACCGAAAGTATAAAATGTAAGTCTTTAATAGAACAGTCTCGTCTTCTTTAATTAAAAGGTTTATAGCGTTTAAAGTAATCAAAGCGTAATAAGCTAAGCGTTCTTACAAAATTGCAATAGTTTCGGCGCTTATCACTTTTCTCGCTTCGGTAAGAAAGGTTTAAGTAAAGTAATTGCGGTCATTATAATCGTATTCGTCGTACTAATAGTTTTCAATAGCGTATGTTGCTTAATCTTAATGATTTTTTTCGTTTAAAATACTTTCTATTCTTTCGTAGTCCGTTAAGAAGCTTGCAAAATAAGCTAAAGTCATTAGTTAAGTAGTATAATATATAACGCCTTTCTTATACTCGTCGTAAAAGCGTTTTCGTTCTTCGAAAGAGTGTTTTATAAACTAGCAGTCGGGCTTACCGTAAATAAAGCATACTTTAAGCTTTCTATCTTTTTTATTGCTTTTGCGGAAACTTTTATTTCCTTTTTTACGTGTAAAACCTTTGTTTTTACCTCTGCTTCCGTTACCGCGATTATAGCTTTTTAAGCCACGGTTATAGCTCTTACTTGATCTTTTATAGTTTCGATCGGTATAATAAATCTCGTGATTACAATTAATATCGCAATTATAGTCGTTAAAAGCATAATATATAATAAAAAGAGCTATGTATTCGAGTACTTAACGCTTTCTTTAAATAGTATCGATTGCTAACCGTAATTAAGCAGCAACTCTTTCGTATGTATTAGCTAAGTTAAATATTATTAGTCTGCATTCTTCGACTTTATTGCAAGCGCTAATAAGTTGATCGCGCAATATATTATCGGTTTAGTATTCGAGTATAAAGCTTTGCTAATAGCTTTTTAAAAGCTTTAACGTAATCTTTAAGCATTTTAATCGAGTCTTTTCGATATTCTTTTTATTTGCAATAATACTAATGAATGTAGTAGTTCTCTATAAGCTTATATAATGTTTTCGGTTCTTATCGGTTTCGAAGTGTTAAGCTATAAAGTGTGTCATAGCTTCGAAAGTATAGCTTTTGCTAGCTATTTGATCGATATAATAAGCGTCTGCTGCTCCGGTAAGCATAATTAAGAAAGCTTTAGCGTATAAAGTAAAAAGGATATCGTATGTTTCGCATAAGCTATAGAACTTCTTTAGCTTTACAAAGAGTATGTTTTATATTCTTTTATTATATTTAAGCTTTTTTTTATATTTATACATCTTATTAAGTCCGCTAATCAATTGCGCTAAGCTTAATTTTTAGCTTTTTTTAACTGATTAGTTAAGTTCTTTTCTATTAATACTTCTACTTCTTCCTTTACCTCTTCTTCTACTTCTTTTTTTACTTCTTCTTTTACCTCTTCTTCTACTTCTTTTATAATTGTCTTTGCGGTAAAAGTCTTTCGTATAATTGCTTTTATTATTATTATCTCCGCCTCTTTTATTTGCTCTTCGTCTTTAAAGTTCGCGGTATTCGAAAATAAATAGTACGTAAAGTTGTTTATAAACTAATAAGTTAAGTGAAAGTCGAAACAAGATCGAGTAAATCGATAATAAAGATTATAATCGAAAGTCAAAAGTAAACTCTTATTGTCTTTGCTATTAATAAAGTTGCTTATTGAATAGTATATTAAATTGTATATCATTCGAAAGTAAAGGTCGATACAATTAAAAGTGTGTCAGTAAAAAGAGTAATCGTATAAGTTGTATCGGTATAAGAAGTATAAGAAGTAAAAAAAAAAGTAAAAGTTTAATAGCAAGTCTGTATATTATTAAACTAAGTCGTTTTTCTCGTTTTGCTTCTTCGTAAAATAAAAATATAAGAAATGTAAATCTATAAAATAGTTTAATAAAAGCTAAAGCATAGCTTATACTACTTTTTAAATCTTTCATTTATACGTAATAAACGAAGAAGTGATTGTATAAGTATCTTAAGATTATGATATAACTTAACTTAAATAATAGTTTAATCTATCTTTCGAAGAAGCTCTAGTATATCTTTTACAAATTATCACTTGTAACGTAAAGATAATCGTTTTTAAATATATCGAAAGCTTAGATAATATACGAGTGAACGCAACTTTAAGTCTATTTAGTCTTATCGAAAAGGTCGAAATCATTAGCTTTTTATACTTTTCGGTCGATCTTGAATTTGCTTCGAAGATTCTATTCGAGTTCTTCGAAGCTATTTACTAAAAGTCGAACAGACTTCTTTGAAAGGAAAAAAAGGGGGTCTTCGAATTCGTAAAGAAGGTTCTTGTTTCTGTTATCCGCTATATTAGCGGTAATGGTTGCGTAATAGACGCTATAACTAATAATAGTATTATCAATTGTATTAAGTTTCCGCTAAACTTGTTAAGAACTAACGGTTGCTTATAGCGTAGTTAATACTTTTAAAAAGGTAAAAACTACCTCTTCTTTTCTATACTTAACTTATCTATAGTTAAGTGTGAATTTAACTATTGATCAGTGTTAGTTACATAATAAAGTGCATACGTGAGACTTAGTACGAATAGCAAGTGGTTGCATTCGTGGTGTTGTTAAGTCTAAAGGAAGAAGGAAGCTATTCTAGCTGCGAGGTGCAGTTACATGTAGTTGTTATGCCAAGGGTGTACGGGCCACCTTTATCCCCGATCGAGTTCGAGTCCTTAACTCCGATCCCCTCATTCCTACAAAGAGCTTTCTTATATAAGTATATTTGTAAAAAAGACTTACTTTTTTTAATAGCAGTTTACTTTCGAATATACGTAGTTAAGCACGCTTAAAACAAAAGAAGAGTTTCGATTAAGAAATAAAAATAGCCGTATAAGCTTAAAACAAGTGAAAAACAATTAAATAATAAAAATAATTTTTATAAAACAAGTGAATAGCTAATAAAGTAAGCGAAATAAAAAAAGAATAAAGAATATAATAAAAAGCAAATCTAAAAGTAAAAGAACAAACGTAAGAAATACCTTTTTTTTTACAACAAAGAGAATGATTATTAAAAGCACGTCTTTTTATAAAATAAGTATAGAATAAAGAAAAAGTAAGAAAATAAGAAAATAAAAGTAAAAGGACAGATTATAAAACAGTTTTATAAGCTAGTTTTTATTCTTTCGAAAGTGTTAAAAGAATGATTTGAAAGTTAATAGACTTAAGTTTAAAGATCACTTTTAAGTTGAGTGTTTCACTTTTACCGTCGTTAAAAAGCTCGTATTTATTAAAGTCCGAATTGTTTAAAAAGCTCGAATCTTCTTTTTCTTTTTCTTCGTCGTCATTAAAAAGAAAAAAAGTTTGATCGCAGCGATAGAA